GGAGAAAGAGAAAGGGTGAGAGTAAGCAACCTTGCCTAACACCGGTCTTCACTTCGAACGACTTTGTCAACTGTCCTCCATGCACAATTTTGCAGTGTAATCCATCATATGAGTTCTGTATGATATTGACTATCTTCTGAGGCACGCCGTAGTGTCGAAGAAGTTTCCATAGTGTTGTTCTGTCCACGCTATCAAATGCCTTTTCGTAGTCAATGAAGTTGATGTAGAGTGATGAATTCCATTCAATTGATTGTTCCACAATGATCCGTAGAGTTGCGATTTGGTCTGTACACGATCTATCCTTACGGAATCCTGCCTGTTGGTCACGAAGTTGGGCGTCTACGCAGTCCTTCATCCTGTTTAACAATACCCTGTTGAAGACTTTTCCCGGTATTGAGAGAAGAGTGATGCCCCTGTAGTTATCACACTTGCTGAGATCGCCTTTCTTCGGTATTTTGATCAGAAGTCCTTCTTTCCAGTCTGTTGGTACTTGTTCCTCATCCCAAATCTTATTGAAGAGAATGTGGAGTATCCTTGCAGTTGCCGCTACGTCTGCTTTTAGTGCCTCTGCTGGATGTTGTCCGGTCCTGCTGCTTTGCCACTCTTGATTTGTCTGATGGCCATGCTGATTTCTTCAATTGTTGGTGGGCCAACATTGATTGGGAGGTCCGTGGGTGCTGCTTCGATGTTGGGTGGGTTCAGTGGAGCTGGTCGATTCAAGAGTTCTTTGAAGTGTTCTACCCACCTGTTTTGTTGCTCTTCAATGTTGGTGATTACCTTGCCTTCCTTGCTTTTCACTGGTCGTTCTGGTTTGCGGCGATTTCCAGAGAGTTTCTTTGTCGTGTCATACAATTGTCTCATGTTTCCTTCTCTTGCAGCCTTTTCCGCCGTCGTTGCTAAATCTTCCACATATTTACGTTTGTCGGTTCTGATGCTCCTCTTCACTTGTTTGTTTATTTCCGTGTATTCAGCTTGTGCCTTGGCTTTTTCTGCTCTTGTTCGGCTGGTATTGATTGCTGCCTTCTTGTTCCTTCTTTCTTGAATCTTATCCAGTGTATCAACAGTGATCCATTCCTTGTGGTGGTGCTTCTTGTGACCCAGGACCTCATGACATGTTGAAGTGATTGCCTCTTTGATCCCCTTCCAGTTGCTCTCCACAGTAGTTCCTTCTCCATTGAGTAGATCATGAAAGGCCTGGAACTTGTTGCTGAGGACTATCTTGAATTTGTTGAGTTTGTTAGTATCCTGGAGAAAGGCCGTATTGAACTTTTGTGATACTGTCTGCCCCGTTGTCCAGTGCTTCTTGAGTTTCAATTTCATCTTGGCGACCAGCAAGTGATGATCTGATGCTATATCAGCTCCTCTCTTGGTTCTCACGTCCTCTATAGTCCTCCTGAACGTTTTGTTGATGCAAATATGGTCGATTTGGTTTTGTGTAGAGTGATCCGGTGAAGTCCATGTGGTTTTGTGTATGCGTTTATGTGGGAATATGGTGCCGCCTATGACCAGCTTATTGAAGGCACATAGATTTGCAAATCTCTCACCATTTTCGTTCCTTTCTCCCAGTCCGTGTCGTCCCATGATGTCTTCATATCCAGTGTTGTCCGTTCCAACCTTGGCGTTGAAATCTCCCATCAGAATGGTCAGGTCCTTTGTTGGGCACTTCTCGACGATTGACTGCAGCCTATTGTAGAATTGATCTTTAGCGTCTTCATTGTAGTCGTTGGTAGGCGCATAGCATTGGATGATGTTCATTGAAATGCCCTCTTTCTTTGTTTTGTATGAGGCTTTGATTATCCTTATTCCATTAGAAAACGATACAATAAGTACATTTTTTGATTATTTGGACAGCATGAATGCAGCTCCTTGTGTAAATGATACAAAGTATAATTCATGGCTGGACTATAACAGGAGGTCACAAATAGTTCTTCGTTATTGACAAACTTGTTTACACTGAGATTGAGTGAAGCCAAGTAACTCTACTTTGTATATTATGATATCTACAGAAATATAGAAGGCTCTTCCGATGTTCCACTTTGTACGATCATTCCATGGGCAGAAAGAAATTGTAATTCTGGTTGTCAGAAGGATCTTATTCCTCGTAACATACGATGGAATACAGGTTTGTGGTGTTTGTATGAAATAAGTTTGGTGTAACGAGGCGATTGACAAGTGTTCGTGATAATTAACTTCATGAAGCCGCTTTATCTACGATTCAATGAATATTGATTGAGACAGTAACTTAGGAATGCTAAAATAGTTAACTATTTCCATACATTCATACATGCACTCTGGGCCATACCAAGGCATTTGGCAGCCTTGATAAAATATCACAACCATTGCATTGAATCCTTCATTTGCGAATTTCCATCATTTGTTCATCACATTCTGCATGATTCTTCCAGTCCACACTCTCTTTTTTCCCTTATATTCTCTTCAACTCGATCTTCTTAGCCTTCTGCTGTCAGGTTTTCCACTTCCGATCGGTGTTACAAAGTACTTATATCGACAGACAGTAGTAGTATACACCACAGCTGTATGATTTTTCATTCCACCTTACTCGTTTTTCCCATTGCTGACTTATGCTAACTGGAGAAATTCTGATAAATATAGAACAATCTATATTTCGCTACAATTCGAGACTCAATCACAGCTCTTCTTTACGTGTTATTGTTCACTCAGCCTTTCAGTCTTAAGATGTAAACTATGAAAATAAACCAAGGAATCACAATTCAAGGCACAGTATGCGTGTTAGATCACGAGTTTTCGCACACATGTAACATATTTTCGTGGATTTTATGTGTCGTTATTTATTAATTATTAACATCCATTTTTCAATCATACGTGACTTCTCGTAGTCTTTGTGATTGGAGGATAGTTTTTATCTCATTTTTTAAGCAGTTTGACGTATTTCTTGCTCACCACCTTAGGAAATATGTAGTTGGCCTAATATGGTTATTTTTAACAATACAATGTCAAACAAGTCAAATCACCATTTTTCTAGTCAAAAATAGATTACAGATTGAGTTTTCATGAAAATAAGCCGTAAAATGCATTATATATGGTTCACCTCCTTGATTATGGTGACGGCAAACATAGATGTCCGTAGTCGTTTATAAAATGTAATCAGAAAGAAGTAAGCGTTAAACTAACTATGAATATTATATAAATTGTTTATATTTAGCCATAAAAGGTTATTTGGACTATAGGTAGCATTGTTTTGTATTGAAGTGACATATTGTTGTGTAAGGTATCAGAGAAAAATTATGTGAGTAACAATTGACGTTGATAGTCTTTTTTACCGGCTTTCTGAACGTATACAGGAACAGTGTATAACACCACATTAAATAGGCACCAAATCTTCATAAGTAAAACGATGGGTGTCTCTTCTGAGCATGGTGACAAAAGCATGTCGTACTTAATACTGATTTATGATGTTAGAGGGTTGACGAATAATTTTCTGTAAACGAAATGCACAATCGCAGACGAAAATGTGAACAAAGTTATGATGCATATTGTCGAGTAATATCTAAATGGTGCTTACCAATTTCTCTTGCTAATACCAGATGTATAGACGAAATACTACAAGGGTTAGACACTGAAGAAATTCCCAGTGCTTGTTACGACACAGACTTGAATAAAAAACAACTATTAATGAGTTAATTCATGAATGACACGTTCATCCTCTGTAAAGATAATACGTCACCGCAAGAGGTTCTCTAATGATTAGCGCTGTCTGTAAATAAGAGACTTATAGGTACATTCTGTAACCTGCTATTTGATTGACTTATTGAATGTGATACTGATAACTAAGTCTAATTCTTTATTTCACGACTGATTTGTTGTTTTCCGTATTGCCTAGTAACATTTTTATTCAACTAATGAATTATTGAAATATAAATATAGCAACTACACTCAGTGTCTTACTTTATAAACTGTGTCCGTATTTATTAATAGTCGATATGACGCTAGAACAAATATAGATAGAGAATAATATGAACTCCTTATAATCCATGGAATGAACAAGTAATAAGATGGATTATGTAATAATTCATTTCACTTTTAAAATGTAGTTACCGATTTATTCCAGCACCCTGTCACTTAATCCTCTGTAATTATGTGACCTCTGCAAATTGTAATCAATTATTACGTCACCCAAGTTTTCAGTTCTTAAATCCACGGATCATTTACAAGCTATAAGATTTTCACACCACTTATCTGTCTGTGAACTCCAGTTCACTATTACACCACCCATTCTTAATGTGTTATTGACTGTAAAAACAAATGACCTTTGACCTTAAACTGCACAATATATATATGTATATAGTCATTATTGATAACCTACGTCATTTCAATTATTCATATTCAGGTATGTCAACTGTTTTCCACATCACTGTTAAATCCTAATGCATATTTAGTTATAATGAATGCATACCACTGTTAATCAACATTTCTCCTGGTTTCATTTTAATTCATAAGCGGAACTAATCACATGAAATTAAAATTTACTTAGCTACTGATACTATTTTGATGATAAACGTAATCCGACGAAGGTGAATATGATATGTGGGTGCCTAATCTGCAAGACTGCACGTGGATGTAGGGTTTCTTAATCATTCCTAACTATTACAGACAGTTACACATGAACATCATTGCTATTCATTCCCATGAAAGTAGGAATAAGATGAAAATTAAAATTATGAAAAAGTTTATTGAATAATCATTGCTGCTAAAGCAGAAAATCAAGTTTACAAGTTGGTATTAAGAATTCTTAAGTAATAATTGTCCACTTTCTTCTCGACTTCCGTTGCGAAACGTTCATCATACTTCTCAATGATGCGATGTTTATGGATTCTTTGGCTTCGTTGAATACTTATATAGACTTCACTCCGTTAATGTATTATTTTGAAAGTTCTGGGTATTATGTAACTTCCATCTGCTACAATACCTAAGAAGTTGATGAGCTATGCAGTTAGTATTAAATAATTGATATAGCTTACCTGTAAGACTTCGTCTTTTAACGTAGGCAAGTAGCATGTGACGGCACGGATATCGACACATCATAAACGTGCTACAATTGCATTGACAAATGCTTATATCCACTTCATGATGTTGTCCGCGGTCAACCATAAACAACCAGTCGCCGCTTTCATATTTCACGTAGACGAAACGCATTTGTTTAAGTTCGTATAACACTTTAGATCTTGCGAATGGGGTCAAAATGTTTAGCAAGGGTATAAGACGCTGTGGAACATTATATTTATAAGATCTTCCTGCTATCACTTGATCTTCGATACTTCTTCTAGTTGACGTCATTTCACTCCATTTTAAAGCCTTGTACATACACTTGTACAGACTATCACTTTTGCGTACATATCGTTTAATTTGCCTATTTAGCGATTCAACACGATTATTCGTGCTGTTACCCAATGTTAAAACATGACCGTAAAAGGCACGCGCCCACATTGTCTTACGCGGCATCCAAAAACGTGACAGGTACTGACCTATCAATCTGTCCCGCCGATTTATTATTCTGTAATATTGATTAAATCTAGTGAATAAACACATTACTTAGGTTACTTTCCAACCGTTTCCGCAGTTACCAATCGAGTTAAGTACGTTTTCAGTATTTTGTCGTTTGTCTAAGGGCAATTTTATGTAAGCAACCATTGGTGTGCCTTTTTCCGGAAAGCGCGAATTACATGAAAGGCGCACAAAACTATGTTTGCATGTCCGTGTGTTGTACAGACAGCCGCGCTTTCACATCGTGCGCAATCCATCACAAATGTTTCAGTCAACATTGTGTTACCCATTATCTCTTTGAATTGATCTGAAATCCATATCACATCGGCACGCTTTTCCCTTCGTGTTCACGCAAACATTACAGTTCGTCCTCTACCCCAATTATCCGTCACCACTAACTGGAATAACGAATATCTACATAGTAAAATACAACGATAAACATATTCACTTTTTATTATTAGTATTATACGTAGAATTAATGCACAAAACTTCTGGATATTTTCTGTACAGTTGTATTTGGTCAAAACTACTGAAGCATATTCTCGTGGCATATCCATTTTCTAAATGTTCTCTCACTTCGCCTTTCTGTCTCAGCATATCCATCACCTGAATCCGAGTAAAACAACCTGAAATATATTTATATACACTTACCAGTGGAGAGTGTAGCTTTCATACCTTTCACATCGGCAGCAGTTACTTGCTTACCAGTTCTCTCCTTCATACTTTCGATAACTTCATCTGCTGACTCACAGTGAAAATAGAAAGTGGAAATAGAAGGTCAAACAAACATGGGTAAATAGACTAGGAATAATCAACACCAAAACATTAACATCATTACGTAATAAGATGTGTGTAAATAATCAGATAGTGAAGAATACAAGGTTAATGATAACAAAATAGAATGAAATAAATAAATAAATAATGATAATAATAAAAAAGCTAAAAAAATATATCGTTAGTTAAGTTATAACTGGCCATGGAAGGGATAGGGGTGTTACGAATTTCTTCTGTACACATAAATTAGGGTTATATGTACGAATTCCAATGGCTTCAGCTATATGTAGGAGGCGGGAACGAACTCCGATGAGGAACGATGGAGGTATGCGACAGATAACTCGAAATGATTTCGATTTATCTACGGCATGACCGCTATCAATTAGATGTGCCAAGATAGAACTGCGAATTGCTTTTATCTGGCCCTTTATAAACCAGCTGGTTTGATTTTTGCTTAAACATCAACGTTTGAATAGTGAGATTACGAAAACCATTATGATTTTACTTCGGAAATCTTCCTCAACACTCCGATGACAATTTGGTCAGTTTAGTATGATAGTATGATAGTTTACAGCAAATTTATGACGGTTGTTGAATTGAAGACACAGCTACTCTTATTTCATTCCAGACAACCTCAGTTGTCTATTATTCGAATCATTCCATAATCCAATGTTCAGATTGGCTTCAATATTCGTTGAATAAAGTATTGTTCATTATGGATGAATTTTCATGACCCAACTTGTCTAATGTGCTAACTGACAGCACACAAAGTAGAATATGACCACATCCCAGGTGTCAGCAACCAAATCTCGTGGAACAAACAACGCTGAACAATGCCAACGAGATTACACAAATTAAACCATTTAAACTCTGAATGAGAATTGAAGGATGTTCTTTCGCAAGGATAATGACGCCTCATGGTGAAGGTGAAACGGATGAATAGCAACTGTAAACAACTGGAAAGGACTGCTGAGGACAGGGTTGGATAGAGAGTGCTAGTGAGCGGCTATTGCTCCTCCGCGACGCGTAACATGAGTAAGTAACTTAGTGTGATAGTTTACAGCGAATTTCTGTGTTGACATGGTGATAATTGGGTACAAATGCAAAGTAATATAACGCTTACAGATGAATGTTCATGTAGGTCAGTGTAAAGCAAAATATAAAAAACAACTTTTACAAGATTCACAATAAATTGAGCCGCTTCAATCCCATCTCAGTTCATTTACTCTCAAATTCTTAGAAATCTAAAAAAAAGTAGTGAAAATCTTATTAAATTTCCACTAACACAAAAACATCAATATTAAAATCAACTAACCAATGAAGTAATGTGTCGTCATCCATATAATCTCACACAAGGACAACTGATCACATTCACAATAAGCGAACTGATCTCCTCAGTTCATTCAGAACTATGCTGCATCTAGTCTACAAAGATATCCTGATTCACTTCAGTTGTCAACTTCAGTGAAGTTGAATGAACGACCTATCTGTCGTGGAGTGAAGTAATACATTGTAAGATGAATATCTACGTCCGTTGATGGAAATATGATTGTGATTAATTGCATCATTGACTCATGTGAATTTGTTGTCATGTGGTAGAATTCTGTTGATGTGCTCACTTCTACCCATTACTGATCATTTCTCACGATAATTCTTACTATATACTGTCCTAATTACCTCGAAACACTCAAAACCAATTCAGTCCACAACACAAAGAGTCTTTCATCTCACCTTCAGTTTCTAGTTACCCAACATTTAATGTATTTCAAATGAGTGAAGTACCAAATATTGATAACCAAAGAACTACACACTGTGCAGTGGTCGCTATATCTATCAATGAGTTACATTCGAAGATCCTTTAGTAGAATCATTGAACAGATTATCTTCAGATGATAGACGTTTTCATATAATCATTTAGCACACTACAAAACGTTGGCTTCTTTCTATCGTGTAAAACCTTATTTGTAAACCAGCGTTTTACACATTTCCATTTATGGCTGTCAATCAAACTGAATTTTGTACACATTCCACAATATGAACTGATTCAGTTGAATTAGGAAAATAATTATGTACACATTAGTGGAGTTATATACTCCTGACCTAAAGACCGATCTCTCCATTGGAAATTGTAATAACTGTAACTGATCCTAATGGAGTTCGACTCAAGAACACAGGCGAACGTAGTTGACAGATGACAGTCCCGCTCACCATCCAAAGATAACCAATTCAACAGTTTATTTCACCTTGATTTTATCAACACAATTCACTCGACAATTTGTAAATGTCACTCATTACTTTCGCCTCTATCTGATCTATATTCAATATGAGGACAATTATCTCACAACAATCGACATTATGCAAAAATATACTGCAAAACAGAACTACGAAAACGGTTGCACGCAATCGCAAATGAAATGTTCCAACTTTAGAATGTATCTCGTTTGATCAACTTTCTCTCGTTGGCCTACTGATGCAATGGCTTTTGAATGCTGTGCATTCAGCAATAAGATTTGAAAAATTGGGAATTCTGTCCGATTCCCTTGATCAACTATAACATTACACCGAATTCTATCATTTCTGTTACATTGTGTGCAAATATTTAAAGTAAAATATATTATCACTTCTTTAATCTCAGTGTAAATTATCTGACCATTTAATTAACAAAAACATATTTCTGTTGACCTCAGTTATTGACAGAAATATCAATGATTATAACTGTGTTGTCGTCAGTCACCTCACGCCATCTCATTAATCAAATAATTTGGTATTATTCTATATCATCTATTATGTATAGTGGGCGTAATATGAATCTTATTTAGAGCAAAAAAACAACGATTTCTAATAATAACTTGATAATTAGCCACACGTTCAGAAAAAAGATGAGTGAAATTATCATTTTTCAAAAGATTACTACTTTCTATAAATAAAATGAAGTGAAAACAAATCTCTCGACTGTCAATTCATAGAAGGCTGTGCTCCATCTATGAATAAACACTGTAGCCATTGACCGTCTAATTTCAGATGAGTTTAGTGGTTGTTTCCTCACAAAATCATCTAGCTCTCACTTCCTCAGTTTATCAATCTATGGATCGCGCATTGATGATCCTGGTTCTTTGAGACTCGACTAGTTATTACTTCCTGTGTACATCGGTCTATGAGACTGTGGTGAATCATCCTGGTGATAAAATCCACATCACGTTCTGTGTTCCATTTTATATCAATCACTGTGGCGGATAAACTCATCCTCATCTGATATTCTGAACAAACACATTTTACTATTGACCAAATGTATGTTTTCACTGAATATTGACTATGGTTGCATATCATGGTTCAATGTGAGCGATCAAATTTTACGTGAGGTTGAATACATTTTGACGTGTCATTTTGTGCTGAAGTTTGGTCTCACTTTCCAACAGATTTGAAATGCGCTCTTTTGGAGAGAAGCATTCGCAGTTGAATATTTAAATAGCAAGTCAGGTTTGCACTGTCTCGCCAATTTCAGATTCATCGTTTTGGATGATTTTATTAAGGAGATAATTTAATTGAGCTAGACAATGTTCGGTGTTTGTAGACTGTCGGCAGAAAATCGTGTAGTCCGGTTTCATAGTAGTTGGTACAAGTCGGTATGTTATACTCTCAATCTTGAAGAAACCAATACTCCTCGTGTAATTCAAACTCATATCAGTCAATTTCGCAGTATGAAAATTTGCTGCTACGTTACTGTAAACACAACTGACATCTTGTAGGACAGAGATGTTTATATTTATTGATCAAAGCGCAATTGTTGGTGTCCTGACAGTGAGAAAATTGTACTACAAGTCATTAACCGGTGTATATTTTGATTTTTATCGATGAAATACGCTGACTAATGAATCTGTTTACGTGATATGAAACCATTAACAAGTGAACAACTGAGATTTCAACATGAGTCGATCTTAAACTAAAGATTTGGCATCTAGTGGTTTATATTCCTGAATTCAGTCAATTAGCGGTATTACTCAGTTGTCGTTCATTAAAACTGGTGATCATTGGGAGGATAATGATTGTGCATTGTATACTAGTCGCATACTTAGATGAAATAACAGTCTATGGCTTCCAGGTTTTCAGTGTCTGTTGAAGTGAAGTTACCTTAAGTTGAGTCTACCGAAATGTCTAAGTCACCAGAATGAGATACGCGCAAAATCGAAGTTCACATAACAACTACTTTTTCTAGAACACCAGTTCTTGGTTGAATAATATGCAAACATTAGTTGCAAACCTCAACTTATGAG